AAAATATAAAAAATAATAATAAATAAATAAAAGACCAAGTTATTTTTGATGTAGAGGCGAAATAATGCAGGGGTCAGCAAACTATGGCCTGTGGACAAAATCCAGCCTCCCACCTGCTATGTAATTATTAGAGCACAACCACACCCATTCATTTTAGTATTGTCTTTGGCTGGCTTTGTGCTATGACAGAGACCATATGCCCTGCAAAGCTGAAAGTATTTACTATCTGGCCCTTTACAGAAAAAGTTTGCCAGCGGTGGACTAAAGGAAAGAGTGTAAAGCAAGGAAAAAGGATAGAGTTTGTAAAGAGAAGCCCTAGATTTGAGACTTAGTTCTAATATTTATTTACCGTGTGAATTTGACTACATCAAAGAAATTTTCTGAGTTGTTTCCTTATGTGAATATTCTAAGTGGCTTCCTAATATGTGAATAACAATAAATGTGCTTGCGACCTCATAGGATTTTATGAAAACTCAAAGAATAGTATATTTAATAATGTCTAACAACTATGTACAAAATATTGATCATTTTTCAAGAATATGCTGGGTTTTCCCCTCACTGTCCAATGAAGGTTGACATAGACCTTGTGACTCAAGTTCTATGAACCTCTGGAAGGTATGTGGATAAGCTTCAAGGGTTTATAATCATGCTTCCTGGAGAGAGGGTCCACAGTGTGTATCAGATTCTCAAAGGGGTCCACAGTCCTTGAAAGGGTTTAAAACCATTGGCTTAGAGAATTTCTACTGTAATTTTCAGGCTGTAAAATGTAATTTTTGTGGTACTAAAATTTGAGGGAAAACACCATATCAGAAACATAGCAGCAATATGTTCATGTAGATGCTAGCACACTAAATAATTGCTTGGAGAACTGAGGCTTGTGCTCAGAAGGAAACCATGAGAAACTACAGTTCTCAAAATAAGAAAATCTTATTCTGTTGCTGAGCTCTGAGTGATATTATAATGTCAGATATTTTCAGTTCTCCCAAACTCCAGTATATTCTGAGTTGTTTTCTGTAAACATGATAAATGTTCTATTTTAGAAAACTAGAGTGCCACCAATCCCAATCCATGACATTCTGCATTTCAAAAATTCAGACTTTGGAAAATAATTTTAAGAAAATGAAATTTAAGTGCCAGGAAAAGGAGCCAATATATTCCTTGGGCGATACAGTAGGGGCTAGAAATTGTAGATCTATGATAATAGAAAGGAGGTTGTTATAATAATGATACTCTTAATATGGATAATATTTGAAAGTAAAAAATAGCATAGTCCTGATTATAATTACGTTTCATAAAACTATTTGTCTTTCTGCAATGTTTCCTGCTTAACTTTTATAAATGTTTGCTGAAAGTCAGAAGATGTGCCATGCTAATTGCCTTTCAAAATTCACAGAAACTCTAGGAAAGATATAAATCAAGGCAACTCAAGATAGGGTTTTTGTAGTTGAAAA